CCCCTTTTCTTCAGCCCAGCCAGTTACAGTCAGTGGAACACAATGTAGTGTTGATCCTTAACATTTGGAACCAGACTTTGGCCCCAAATGAACGAGTCCCTACCCTATCACATTCTGCACCTCTCCTTGGAGCCTTCCTGAGATGAACATGGAACGAGGGTTCGTCAGCTTAAGCGAGTCAAATTAAAGGAACTCATGACCAATCCTGATGTGATATCATTTAGTGTGCAAACGTCCTCCAACTCCCAAGCGGACGGTCAAGCCAGCAACCTTAGGAAATTTTAAGGCTCCTTCATAACATTCCCATTCAGTTGCTGTTTTTCTTTTTCCCTACAGAAAACACGGAGATTCTGAAGCATGGAGCGGCACTCAAGCATGCCCTCCCAGAGAGACTGTTACTGGGCACTCTGGCTTACACGGGTGCTCAGCCCCCATTGACACGGCTTGGCGGGGCTCACATCGCATCGCTCTGCTAGGTGCATGACCTAGTGGGTCACATCATTCAGCCAGAACATGAGAGCACACTAACGCGCAGTGACCATGCCGCACCATAAAGTGTACCAAGGCCAAGCATCATAATGCTCACTGTGTCCTTCCCCTGGCTGTGTAATCCGCAAGCTAACACAATCCTGAGCACAATAGGCGGTGATCTAGAAGGTCTCTGCACACTGCCTGCCTACTATTATCATCTGTTTGCTTAGCAGACACCTCTCTCCAGAGAAACTTATACAGTGCGCAATTTTAAACTATGTACCAGTCAATATTAGCTTCAGCAATTTTGGTTAGAATAGAAGAGGAAGACAGCAGTGTCCCTCTCAGGATTTCAAGCCTAGATACCCTCATATCAAAACCCACATCCTCCACGAGCGCCATCCCATAATAACCTCTCAGCTTCTCAGCAGCTCCTTTTGAAATCAATACCCATACCGTACACTCAGCATACACCACAGAGCAGGCTCCACTGAAGGAGCAATTCTGGCGTATTGTGTACTCCCTTGTACAGACTACCATCTCAATAGTGTATACAAAGGGACAGACTGCCATCTCAATGCTGTATAAAAAGGTTACGACTACTGTCTCAGTATTATATACAAATGGACAGACTACTGTCTCAGTAGTGTATATAAAGGACAGGTTACCATCTCAATATTGTATACAAAGGGACAGACTACTGTCTCAGTAGTGTATACAAAAGTACACACTACCATCTCAGTAGTGTATAAAAAGCTTCAGACTACCATCTCAATATTGTATACAGACACAGAATACACTCACAACAGTCTATACAGAGGAACAGACTCATTTCAGAACAGAGTATATAAGTTTACATACTGTCTTCATAACAGTCTATACAAATACAGCCTACACTTATAACAGTCTATATAGAGGAACAGACCACTTTCAGAACACCATATATAAGCTTATAGACTACCCTCACAATAAGCCATACAAAAGTATGGACTACATTGATAGCAGCCTAAACAGAAAAACAGACAAACCTCACAATAGTGCATACAGAGATACAGAATACACTCACAATATGTACGACACTAAGAACAGTAATTACATATATATACGGCTTACCCTTACAATAGTGTACAAAGGTACTTGCTATACCCACAGTGTTTACAAAAGTATAGACAAGAGTATTAAACCCAGAATAGGCACAGGTACAAACACAAAGGCACAAGCTTCACTCAAAATAGATTTGTTGTGATCACACGATGCATTTAGACATCCTGCTTATGTATTGTTGCTAATTTTGAGGTCAAGGTCATCAGTCCTCATCTTTTGTTCCCCATTGCTAGAAGCATGTTTCGAAAAGCTACTCAGAAGCTCTTCATTTCCAGTTATCCATTAGCCGTTCTTCAAAACATCCTTGCGTCGTCTCAGATCTTCCTGTGCCGGAAAATCACCTCTGCGCTCTGATAATTCCCGCTTCCTTAGCTGGCGCTTTCGTCCACTGAGACTGTGTCCGCGGCACTTTCAGTCACATCGCTCAAAGACTCTGCACCGGATTCCCCTCCTGAGATTTAAATGTGGCGCATTCTGGGCACAAACCCATTTGTTAAAAAACATCGGCATGCGTTTCGATCTTATTCATTAGCTTCTTGTTCCAGAATAAACCCCATATGGTGTCGGATATTCATCTTTAAATAATATTCACCAATTCGTCTCATGCACCATACTCTCAATCTATGGAGTATCCATCTGCCTTCCATCACTGCTTATCCCGTATGGGACTGCTGAGAGTGAAGGTTACCCCCCCTTAGGTTGGGGACACCCTGGATGCAATGTCAGTCCATCACAGGACACATACTGTCATCAAGCTGCTTAAGGCAAAAAACACACATAGCCAATTTGTTTGGACAAACTGCACTGTCATAGTCCCAAGAAATGACAGCGTTGTGGCCATGATATTGTCGAGGTGTGGCCTTTGTACATGGTGTGCAGAGGCCCAGAGGATGAGCAGCAGGTGCACTCAATAATGGCTTCCGAACAGCGTCTGTTGGACTCACCAGCAAGAATAAACCAGCCCAGCTCTGCAAGCGGGGCGGCGTCTTGATCAAAGACTTTCATTTGCTTATTTAAGTCACAGATGGTGCATGAGTTAGAAATATAGACCATGTCTATCCTCATTATAAAACCAATGCAGATTAAGCTTCTTTAGTAGGACAAATTGTCCACCGTGACACCAATATATCCTCCTGAGACCCCACCCATTCATTTATGTCCATTGTAGAGGACATTTTGTTTTTGCGTCTGTCTTTTCACTGATGTAAGGAAACACTAAAGAGGACATGCTGTGAAATTCAAAATAAAAATACATTTAAAAAAATCTAAATTGTAAGATGTCTTATTTCCTCCAAAGACAAATAACCTAAAATTGAAGGACACTTTTTTCCTTGGGTCTCAGGAGGATATAGAGAAAGCGACTGATTTATTCGTAACTGAACACCAATGAACTAAAATCACCATCCTACATCATCCATGACCACTTTGGTCATATTTCTGTAGATGACAATTTCATTCTGTGATTGCAGATGCAACTTTGTGGGTCAGGCGATCTTTGAATAGCAGTGATTGGCTGCAGAATACCATACAACAAGAAGGCGCACTTCCTCGCGTCATTCTGCATTCATCACATTAACCACAAATGATTCAATGAAATATCAGCCATAAAGATTGTGGCCCAGACTTGCCAACAATGCCTTTAAAGTCCATGCACTTCATCCAGACCTTTTATTTGAGTTCCACCATGTACGGTCCAAACGGATCCTCGTTAGGAGCCTGTGGATGTATTCTGGCTCTGAACATATTTTCCAGTCTCAGGTTTCATTAATTAATCACCTTTATTACATCTGCAGTCATTACTCTGAAGCGTGGAGCGTAATGTCCTACAGCAGGTCCCCTTATCCCTGCAAGCCAGAGTCTCTTCAATATATGCAGTTTCCTTAATTTCATTCGAGAACAAGGAATCTATCCCATCATCCACCCTGTTTTTCAGGTATATATTCAGCATTGTTGATGGGTAAAACACTGAAGGGGGCTCCCTTCCACATCCCGATTTAGGGTTAGGCTCCACCGAGAAGCATGCTGGGTTTTCCAAGCTGAGCTCTTTTTTTTTTTTTAAATTAACCGCGGAAGAATGTAACAGCATTCACCAGGAGCTACAGGTGCATGCTCTGGTCACGATTTATTCCACAGCTGTTACAAGTATTGATGGATCAAGCAAATCACTCTGTGCTTCATTTAACATCACAGTTAAAAAAAAAATCTCCCAGTGAGGGATATTATTAGCCTGTATCTCAAAGTAAGGACCACACCTCAATACAATGCTCAAACACTAAAATACCATAACGGGTAATTTACCAACAAAATGGAAAATAGCATTAGATTTGACCTACAGCACATCTTTAGCACAGACCAAACATAATAAATCAGCCCAGACAGATAAATGAAGCTTGTGCCTTCATTGGCTTTCATATAACAATGAAAAGTGTTGTCATGATACTTTGGCAATAATCGCATTATTAGTAACCTTAATTCGTGGGCCAGCACAAACGGATAAGACTTTGCCAGTAAACCCATCAGAGATATTTTGCTGTGCATTAACCACAAAGAATTTCTCCCAGAGACCAGCAGCAGTTGCTTGTGTAATGGCGTTAGGCACAGTTCAATGGTCTGCTTAAAGACACTATCTTGATTGAATTTGTTTTTATAGCAGATGAGGGAGTTTCCTGTAATAGTCTTTTTATCTCAGTTCTCTGTCATTAAAGAACATTATGACACCATATATTAATGCATTTTCGATGCACAAAATTATATGTACGGCTATAGATCCAGGTTTCTATGTGTCTGGAGATAAATGATTTCAGGAGGGGCCTTAATTAAGAACAATTTTGCTTCATTAACGTCATGGGGAAAAGCATTCAACTTTCGACGGTCAAGAGCACAACGAGCGAAAGCCTGACGATGCCGGAATTGAACAGGCTACGGAAACTGCAGATAAAAATCACGGACGGCAGCATTCACAAACAGCCACGTACCCCAGACAACCCGATTGCTTGTACACAAATATTCGTCGTGGCAACATACATCGGCATTATGACATCATGCGGACGTCCACACATTCATACAAACTCACGTACACACTTCAAAGTATAAACCCCACAATACTGTTGTTGCATTCCTGCTGTAATTTGCATGCACACACACACACACACACACACACACATCCCTCTCTCTCTCTCTCTCTCTATATATATATATATATATATATATATATATATATATATATATATATACATACATAGATATTTATTACATAGATAAAGAGACAAAGAAAGAGACACACAAATATGAAATTCAACAATCTGACAGCGAGGGCAGGGAACTCAACAATTTAAGAGCAATGTAAAGGAACCACAGTAGCGGTGGAGACGCATGATAAGACACACTCACGCAGACACACGGGTACACAAAAGAGGCATACTCACAGAATGAATCAGACGATACTAGATGCCTTTTTCCATAAGTCAGTGTGGTATCCAGTCAACGCAGCCCTGGCAGACATGTGAACAGGATCCAGGGGGACACAATATCCAAGCTGGGGGAGCAGATGTGGGAGTGCAGTTTGAATGTAGAGAGCAGGGGTGGACAAGGATTCCAAAAGATTTTAATTTTATTTATTTATTAAGAGTGGGGGGTGCTGATGGTTCACTTTAGAAGTGGCAGATTCCTGGGTTTGACCTCTGATTAAACAATATTCCTTTGTTTAAAAAAGTGTGAGGGAAAAAAGGTCTGCAGCTGGGGAACAATAAAAGGAGAGAAGCAGAGGAAGAGTGCGAGGAACGCTGGCTCTCTCTTTCACAGAGGAACAGCAGGGACAGAGTGACAGAGCACCTCACAGACTGCAACAGGGAAAAAAACGCGGTTTTGAGGCAAAAAAGGCCCTTCTCTCGCCTTCCCTCACACTCCCCCTGTCCCCGTCTCTCTCTTTGTGGCGGTCGCAGGCCTCTCTCGCTTATTCAAAGCCGGCATTCAATCGCAATCTTGAGTCGAGATGAAGAAAGGGAGGAAAACATACACACACACAGAACAAAATCAAAAACAGATGAAGGTGTCTATTCCCACCTGTTCTCTCTTTTTCTCAGTCTCGCTCCTCCCTCCCCCCCGGACTGCACACTTCCAGAAGCAGTCGCGTTGCGTATCTGTACCTGAGCAACACACCAGAGGATGCATCCGAATCCTCTTAATCAGCCCTGATTGCAGCAACGACCCAGGCGTCCATCAGCAAGCGCCCGTCGTTAGAGCCGATTACAGCCTTCCTGTGCTCACTGCCTGGAACGACAATGACGGCTGATCTCACAAGTGTGGCTCATCCTAGGAATGGCATCAGGCAGGCATCTCGAATTGACTCTAACTGCCCCCCGACTGGAATGCTGCCCTTTGCCCGGTCCATCACAATAACATTCCACCTGTAATTCTGAAGGCACAAAACAAAAACCTATGGCCTTTAGGTATAATCTTGCTTTTCGACCTCCCTCTCTACCTGTGCTGTCAGGTGTCTCCTACCTCCCCCATTTAGGCGCCACTGCTCATTATTCAGCAACGTCCCTGTTCCTCCCCCTGTTCCACTTTATCAGAGAAATGTAACAGATAAAGAATGTTGCATCAAGATTTACTCCACTCTGGATGGTTATGGGTTAAAAAATTTCTACAGTTTATATGGTATCTCTGATCAAAATCAAAAAGCCAGAGATTTCGGGGAGGCTCCAGTTTCTCAGAGGTGCTTATAATCAAATTCCCAAAATTATTAGATCATATCATGGAAAAACTCCAAAGGTCTTTAAGAAGACTGCAGGTGAAAGACTCAGCTATTCCCCTTAAATCCATTCTGACATTCTTAGGCTGGGTATCTCTGGTGTAGTGTTTCCTTCACGTCAGGTCCATCACCAGACACAAAGGAGAAAAGGGGGCCTTGGGTCACTTGAACTAGGGATTCCAATCCAAGAGGCAGAAGGTAACGTGACCCAAACCCTCAACTGTGCACATCCAGTCCTTTCTGGCACCAATGGGTTCTTCAGATTCTAGAAGTGGACCAAAACCTAAATTCAAGTTAATATTTCAATAAGGCAGATGAATTTGCACCAGACCAGGTCAAATTTTGGCCCTTTGTGAGTAGCCAACTAGTCCAAATTCGACTTGATCCAAAACCAGCATGAATCCTTCGGTTCTCATCTGACAGGTGTCGAATGAAATATGGCGATCTTGGTGGATGCTGCTGGCTAGCATGTGGCAGCTAAGACCCATGGTGGGAAGCGTGGCCCCTGGAAGAGGTCCTGCAGTGGAGAGGCCGCACATGGGGGCATGAACCCTGTGGGAACAGAGAGAACTGGAATAAATGGACAAGACTGTGGTATCTGTGTCAACGCCGCTGATTTAGTCATTTTCCTCAGGTCTCTGTCTTTGTCTGGTACACCGTCTCCCATTAGCCCAAACCGATGCTACATTGCATATTGAGGAACGCAAGCAGGGATTAGATTAGTGTCCTTACCTGCACTGTTCACCCTCAAATTGAGGCTGAAGGTGATCTAAAGCTGAACTCCTTGAGTGAGCACTTGGGATTGCTGAAATGCCATTGTAAGCACTCATGGCTTATCGGCTTCTTTTGGGCACAAATTCTCAGCAAAAATGGTGCGTCAAAGCAGAAGAAGCAGATTTGCCAGGAAGTGAGTGGGTCAGGACACGTGAGGGTGCTGTAGGGGGTCAGCGCAGAGTTCTTCTTTGATCCTCTAGATGTATCAATTGGGATTTTTCCTAGATGATGGGAAACTTGCTATCTCTCATATTGTTTTTCTATTGTCAGTCTATAAAGATACCACTAAGGAATAACAATTAATAATGTGCTAATCTGATCCTCACTCAGCTACACAACTCAAAACCGATCAAGGCCAAAAGAGGCAGAACCCGTTGTATGGCCGATAATCACTGACATACACACACAGACACACACACATCGAGAGGACTCTCCAAAATTTTCCAGAAGCTTAATTTCTAATGAAATGTGGCAAGGACTGACAGACGGAGATAGAGAAAAGAGGGGGAGGGGAATGATGAGGACGGTGACGGGGATCCAATTAACGGGGGGAACAAAATCTCAAGCACTTATATGTAGGTTGCTAATCAATACATCAAAACTGATTGACATCGGTCACGGGGCTCCCTGGCAGGGAGGGTGGATGAGAGAGAGACAGGGCGAGAGGAAAATGGCTGATGCGTGAATGAAATTAAGAAAAGACTGAAAAACACTGCCGATGCATCTGATGGTGGAGGAATGACAAAGAATGGGGGGGGGCGGGCAAGCGATAAAGAGAGTGGGGCACTCACCCAGCTCAGTTCCTGCTCCACGGGCAACACAATTCCGGCACTGTGATTTCATCCCGAGCAGGAGCAGACAGGGATTCGGAGAAACGGTCGGTGGAATACCAATGGGAGAGCTGTCGGAGCCCCCCCCACAACAGGGAAAAGGTGCTACGGAGGGGAAAAGACACAGTCAAGTCTGTGACCAGTGCTTCCTGTGAAATCCCTCGTGCGGCATAGAGTGAATACCCCCCCTCCCCCCCTGCACACACTCAGCATCACCCCCCACCTTCCAAAAAAATCAAGGGAATCATCACAAAAGCACAGAAGAGCATGCACAGCCTGACTGATGCACACTCACACTCACAGTGGAACAGAGTTGCAATGACACCCCAGGACAGAAATTCGCAGGCCGTTCCCTGATGATGGAGAAAACCCTTGATTGACACTTGTTCCCCCTCCCCCTCGCTATATTCCTCACTGAAGAGAATTCAGTGATGGAGAGAATAAAATAAATGTCCTTTTATGTTCATTCATCCCCCTCCTTTTCGCCTGCATGTTGCCTGTAATTCCACAGTGCTCGACTGCAAGCTGCATTCACTCTCTCTCTCTCTCTCTCTCTCTCCTTCCTCAGTTGTATCCCTGTTTCTTTCCCAGCTCTCTCCAGCCCAATCAGGAGTGCCTCCCTCTCCCTCTCTCTCTCTCTGCTCCCTCCTACTCTACCCCCTTTTCCAACACCCACTCCCTTGCTCTTCCTCCCCCTCTACCGGCACTCTCCATCTCTCTCTCACTCCTCCTCATCTCAGGTGTCCTAAGTGACAAATATCAAGTTCCTGCCTCCGTATCAGATGAACGTGCCTGTCTGGGTCTGTTTTCAGAAATCACAAAGCAGCCGTGACACGGGCACGCGTGCACAGTGACAGCCCTGCCAGCCGGCACATGACCGCCCGGCGCTCAATGACAGCAGCGGGATGATGTCCGCCACTTCACAGGCAGTTGCGGGGCTTTCTGCGCGAGAGTGACATCCTGGCATTGCTAACCTCAGTCATGTTCAGAAGAAGATTCACGAGACATTACAGTTATATGGATGGACACTACGAAGCACAACATTTCGACCAATAATCAGTGCCAATTACCACTGGGATGCAACCTCGTTAAAAAATAAAAAAAAAAAAAAAAACAACTTTCCCAGAAAGCCATGCTCTTCGTAGGCAAAGACTTGCATTAATGAGGCGGCTTGTCTGTTCGGTGCGTGGCAATAATACAGCGCAGCGAAGAGCGGGAGGCGGCGGCACGGAGACAGAACCCCACGGCTCTGTGGAAAACCGCAGGAGCAGCTTGTCTTTCGGATTATGCCACTTTTCCTGTCTGATCCCTCTTTCCCATGTGGTGGGCAGGCAGGGCGCACATTTCTATCGGCTCGCGTTGTCTTGCCTGCTCACTGCCTGTTGCGAGCTGGTGACAGGGTTTACACTTTTGTCCAAGGGGCTGTACACACACACACACACACACACACACAGACCTGTACTCATACCTTTGTGGGGACTGTCCATTCATTTCTATGGGCAAATCCCTAATCCTTAACCCCTACCCAGCCCTAGCCTTAACCATAAGTAACCAGACAAAATACAAGGCTTCGGCATTTTTAGTTTTTTTATTGCAGTCACAGATTTTAATATTGGATTTCCCCTTGTGGGGACTGACACAATGGTCCCCACAATGTCAAAATAAGTTGTAATGGACCACACACACACACACTCACTCAGTGAGTTTCAGCAGCAGCCCGTCTGATTCCCTATTCTGTCTCCTCGCATTGTGCCCCCACCCTCTTCGCCGCCTCGTGCACTCGACCACTGTCATCCTCTGTGTGGCGATACCGCGCCCCAAAGCCTCACACACGTGGCCAGGCTGGGACCCATGCGCCACTGACCAGCACAGGCCCAGGACACGCCGGCTCCGCCAGTGGCTCTGATTGGCTCTGGCCGGAAACCACGTGACCGAACGGCTTCATTCTGCCTGTAACATTTACACTTCACCGGTTCCCTTTAACCCTGTGATTGCGTCGTCGTATCAGCCGATGAAGGATATACAGAGAGGATACAGGGTGGGGGGGAGACAGACAAGGAGGGAGAGAGAGAGAGAGAGAGAGAGAGAGAGAGAGAGAGAATTGACATTCAGGCCGAGTGCTGCGCCTTGCCTGTGGAATAATGATTAGCTGTTCAGTATTCGAGTCGCGTAGTCTCTACTATCAATGAGAGAGAGGGATGGGGGGTGGGGGAGGGAGCTCAGAGAGAGAGAGGGAGCAAGGGAGAGAGGGAGAGATGAATACAGGGAGAAACAAGGTGAACAAAAAAAAGGGCTAGAGGAGGAATAAGAAGATGAACGGTGAGGGCAGAGCGGTGGCATGAGCGGCACGGGGGCACACGCATGCACTCACACACGCGCCACATCACACAGAGGTTCAGTGGCCCCCGCGCTCATGTGCACGTGAACACGCTTCACACTCGTCTGCTGGCTGCAGATGCCAGTGGCCTCAACATACAAATATATAGATTGGAGACCCTAAAATATACAGATAGGCACAGAATGGGTAGGGGGGTGACTTTGTCAAAGTCACAGCAGGTACGACCACCTCAGAAGGCAATAAATAGAGGCTGGGGATGTGTTGGGGGGGGGGGGTGAGAAGGAGATCATGAAGGAAGAAAATGTAGAATGTGGGAAACAGGACAGAAGACAACAGGGGAAAGAGCGAGATGCATTAGGTATAAATGGGTGACAGACAAATGGTCCCTGTCAGTGGGAGAAAATGATAGTTTGGGATTCAGGGCCAGTGTTTGGAACCAGAGACGTAACCAAGGAGCAGGAGGCGAGCCTTAAAAAGCCAGGAGGCAGAATCGGTGGCGCTTGAGGGACCGTGCCAACATGAAGAGAGCCACAGCTCCTGCCAATAAAGCCATTTGAATCTGGGAGGACGAATGAAGTTGGGGGGGGGGGGTACTGTCGGGGAGAGTCACTTTCCAGCCCTAACCTTGTCCTCATTCGGCAGCGCGGTCGCTGCGGGTAGCCTTCCAGGCAGCCGATGCGATAAACAAAAATACCACATCGCACGGCATGCCGAGGACGGGCGTGACACCCGGCCCGCACCACCCTCAGCGTCGGGGAGCCCCCGCTCCACTGAACCAGCACCCAGCCATCCCAGGGCACCGCCTCCACCCCCCCATTTGAACAGGGCTGGCTCAGCTGACCCGAAATACACCGGCTCACCCTGGACAAAACGGACATGACAAGAAATATAAAGGGATGTTGGCTGTCCGGTGGGGGTCGCGGCGCATAAGAGAAAATGCGCTTTCAGCACAGCAGACAGGGGCTTCAATAACTCAAGCGAAAGATGCGCAGATTAATTTGGAGGTGAAACTGCACAGTTCAGTAATCATCTTTATTGATGTTTTTTGTGGTTAAGAACAGGAGTTGAAATTAAACCTGGAGTAAGGGTCCCGTAGAAGTATGAGCCCATCCAATAGGCTCTTTAATTAACGTGTTAAACAATTGATTGTTTTAAAGGTCACATCTGGATTAATTTACCATCCCCAGAGTACCCTGTTTATGTCCAGATATCTACACTGATGAGGTATTACCATACTAGCGATCCATCTTCCATAGCTCACCCACTACAGGGTCCCAGGTACTACAATAGCTTGAATTACTGTTTGTAATTTTCCCCCTACTCATCTTCAATAAAACAAATCATTTGCTGTGTATTTTGAATAAAAGTATTAACCCCACCCTTTTCCTCCCAATCAGCCAGTGCGGAGGCCTGAATACTGGTACACGCTTCTTTCGGACTGCAGACGTAGCTGCATCTGATGTGATACCAGGCAACTTTGTGTTTCTACTGGGTCACGTACGTTAATTTGACTGGGGCACCACTGGGATGGCCCCACAAATCGAGCAGTTAACTGCCCATGACATCCACAGCTGTGCGTCGGCTAACACGCCTCCTTCTGCCACATATGGGCTGCATGTCCACTTACATTCAGCCATCAAGTGCAGAACACTCCCTGTTTTTTTCTGATGAAGCCACTCCTTCCTTGGTCATTTCCCCAGGCGCTTCCCCACTTGACGCCCGGCCTGTCAATCGTGACCTGATTGGTTTGCTGTCCTGTCCGTCATGCCCTGACGCTTAATCAAGAAGCAGCTGCTGATGGACCCACCCCCCAAAGGGTGCTGACAGCAGAACTAAGCGGAGGAAATGAACCACGGAGACATTTTAAGACTACTATCAAGCATTTAAGACAGACTAGAGGTGCCGTAGGGACTCACAACTTCAGGGCTGTGTGCCTCAATCCCACCAAAGGCGTGAGAGTGGACTCCGGCTGAGTTTCCTCCACAGTTCAAGGACATTAACTCTGGGTAATGGGCACCTGTAAATAACTCTTAGTGCGTAAGGGCCCAGCAACGCACTGGACCGACATCTTACATTTCTTGGGGCTCACTCAGGATCATGGTGCCATTATTGGCCCTGTTTTGGCACTCCCACCCCACCCTGCCCTGAGTGACTCCGGGGGCCCACGTGACATGAGAGCGGAGAGATTGCCCTGGATGACTCCATCTGCCTTGCTAATCAAGGCCCCGGGAAATATTTTATATCCATGTAGAGTTTGCACAGCATGCTAGTGCTCTCAAGGTATATTGACTTAACATAGCTCATCTTTGGGGGCGTGCCAATTAGTTAAGACATTCAAAAGTATATACTCCTATTTAAAAAATTACATAAGTGCAGCCAAATCCTGTTAGCTGGCCAACTGCCTCGAAGCTATACTCTTAATAACTGAATTAAGACAGTATAATCAAACAGATAAAATGGTCACATCTTATTATATGGAGCAGCTTAAATGAAAAAACGAGTCTCTGCGTTACAGAATAAAGACTGTTTTTCTGTTTAAGTAACGGCCTTGACATTTGAAGTGGAAGCCAGCCTGGTGAGCGGGGTGTGATTACTCGAAGGAGCCCCCTGAGGTGTCACGATGAGGCAGCCCGCAGCCCGCAGCTCGAGGACAGCAGGCAAGTGACCTGATCTAAATGAGAGAGCGCGTCAATAACGCGCCGGGGGGGTGGGGAATACGGCAAGCCCCCGTGCTGAACCACATGTACGAAGAGCATCTCTGCACCATCCCGGAGGAGCCGGCTGACCTCCGTCTGTCCACATCTGTTGTCAGGGGCTGTACTCCTGCCTCCGGATTTACAGCCAAGAGCGATCCGACTCGGGGTCACGGCTGCGGCGGTGGCCAGGTCACAGTGAGTGAGTCTTGCCATATAAAATGACTTTCAGGGACCAAAGTGAAATGGGAACAATTTTATTAAAAATTACAAGCCCTGTGCATCCAGACACACATTTCCCAGCTGTAGGACACCCACCTGAAACCCCCCCCCCACTCTCCAGGTCCTACTCTATGATGAACTCAATGGCGTGCTGGATGTCCTGTCCATCCACTACAGATACGGAGGGGTGCAGGAGGACCACAGAAGATGTCGTCCCCGGGAACGAGACCTCAGCCTGTGGCTGGCTCTGGGCAGAGGTGACGGGAGTGGAGGTCTGCAGCAGCACGATGGTGCGGACAGCGGCCTCGCCTTCACCCTGGCCGGCCGTGCCCTTGGCGGCGGCGGCGTCTCCGTGCACTTTGCTGTGCTTGTCCAGGTTGGAGCGTGAGCGGAAGGTGCGTGGGCAGAGTGTGCAGGTATATGGCTTCTCGCCGCTGTGGGTGCGGGCATGCTCCGTCAGCCGCGCCGCCACCGAGAAGCTCTTCCCGCACAGCCAGCAGACAAATGGCCGCTCGCCGCTGTGGATCCGTTCGTGGTCCTGCAGGTGGGGCAGCTGGCGGAAGCGCTTCCTGCACTGGGAGCACTGAGGATGGGAAAGACAGGCGGGAAGAATGGCTAGCTAAGCATTCTTATCACACTACCCATGCTTCCACTGGATGTCAAAGTTTCAGAAAAACTTGTGGAGAATAAAGTCTTTAAAAACCCCAGAATTTTCTTTCCAGAGCCCCGGCACCACGTCACACTAGCTAAAGACACCCCCCGGAAAGCGGCATAATTACCTCATAGGGTCTCTCGCCGGTGTGGGTGCGCATGTGCAGCCGGAACGTGGAGGCGTAGGCAAAGCCCTTCCCGCAGTGCTCGCAGCGGAAAGGCCTGGGGGTGGCGTCGGGGCTCTTGAAGGCCAGCCGGCGGCAGTGGGCCAGCACGTGCTCCTCCAGGGCGGCGCTGGTGGCGAAGCGCCGTCGGCAGGGGCTGAGTGGGCAGCGCAGGGGTGTCTGGCCCGTGTGCGACAGCCGGTGCAGATCCAGGCCCTCCTGGGTGACGCAGCAGTGGCCGCACATGTCGCACTCCATCTGGCCCACGCTCCTGCCCCGGCCCTGGCCCCTGCCCCGGCCCCGCGCCCGATCATCCTCCCCGGAGCAGCGGCGCAAGTGCACATTGAGGACGGCCTGGCTCAGGAACTGGGCGGAGCAGTGGGGACATGTCTTGGGCTCCTTTTCTGAAAAGGCAAAAGCGGTGGGAGGGGGGGAGTTGTGAGGGCAGAGGGCACGACCCATGGAAAGCACGCTGGAGAGGCAGCTAATCAGACACCATGTCCAGCAGCCAGCTCCGGGATAAGGGTGGCAGATCACGCAAACTGACTGCGAATCGGGTGCAAGTGTGGGCTCCCACAGGCGATCGACCCAGAGGTGGCAATAAATGAAATAAATAAGGCACAAAATAAATAAAGAAGTATATATACATGCTGAGAAACAATGCTGTGTTGCTAGGGAACCTGATATCACACATTTTCCGCAAAGGCAGCTCAGAGGCACTGTAAATTAATCGGAAAAAACATAATAAATGTGTTTTTAAGCAACAGTGTATCTTCCACACTAAAATCAAAAATTTACCTTCACCAGAAGTAGGAATTAATTCTAAAGCATGTAAGATGTAGTGTTTCTCAGTATGCATGGAAGAAACATCAGGTGTGTATACATATCCTGTGGCACAGACCAAAGGACGCATAGATACTGTATATACTGTAGCTTATAAATTAGGGCTACAGCTATACGGACTTCCCAGTGTCCGTTCAGACGTCTATTTTTGTCAAACGATATGTAACGATCAGAAGCAAACCGGGGCTGGGTTGCTAGGGAACCTGATGCCACATTCATAGAGTCACGCTAATGGAAAGCTCATCGTTACTCGGGATGCGCCCGCCATCAGATTGCGTTCTTGCACTTTGATATGGAAGTGAGAAAAAGGAATAATTTAGTAGTTTTTTAGGAAAGTTCTGCTCTTGAAGTGAGGGGAGCTTTTATTTTTTATTTTTTGGACACTGAAAATGCTTTAAGAAGACATGGCATGGTGATTTACATTTGTATTTGCAGCATAATTATTTTGTGTTAACATCCATCCATCCATCCCTGTTCCATAACTGTGTAGCCAGTGCTGGGTCAGAGTGAGCCTGAGGCTGGATCCAGGCAGCATGGGGCACCAGGCGTGGGACACGAGTCCATCACAAGGGACACACTCAGTCACACAATCACACTATGGGCTAATTAAAGACAGGATTGGAAACTCCCATGTCAGCACCTGCTGATAACAGGTATAGCACAGTCCATCAGGTCCGCAGTACTACCCAGTCATTCAGTCACAGCTGAGACTTCTCAGATTCCAAAGGTACTACATCTTTAAAACGATTATTGAACACATTAAAGTCATAACTGCAATGCATTTAAGGTGTTTACCACTCTTTTAAAGCATTTGTCCCCAGAAGTCCTGTGCTCTTCACACAGAAAAAAAATACCCAGCACCAAAGGGTGACTGTTTTAACAGGATTAGGCAAAGGGATTATTCTTTATGCGGCTGACTTAATACCCAGAGTCGGAGTGTGTGAGGCGAATTCCTGCAGAGAAAAACCCCACGTTCCCGTTTACGCTCGGGATCCTTAGCGCTGCTGGGGAAGAGGAGAGGAGAGCGGAATGGTGGGGAAGGCGTACCTTGGTGTGTGAGCGAGTGCAAATCCAGGTGTTTTTTACGCTTGAACGACTGGCCACAGGTTGAGCAGTTGAACTGGTTACCAGCATGCTGGAGCCTGCAGGGGTAGAGAACGGAGACAGATAACAGACACATATCCTAACTATGGACACTTTTCCACTGCACCTTCTTGTGTTGATGTTCCACTAGCAGGAAAACAAAGCACCACAGAATGACATCACAACACAAGGGGGGGGGGGGGGTATTCTGTACCAAGTATATTAGAGGGCTGGGCAATGTGCGATATTGATACCAACACATGCAATTCTCACACAGCAAAGACTGCGACAGTCCGATGGGTTGAATGGCTTTTTCCATACTGACCGGACATTATAGCATGAGGGGGGTTTAAGTTTCACCAAAGCATCTTAGGAAACAAAACATAAAGTTTACAATTTTAATGATTGTCCCTTTTCAAGATTACAATGTTAATTTTGGCAAGAATTTTTAATTTAGTTTTAGTCTTACTCACTTACTGAAAATTGGTAGTTGGATTAAAGTCCCAAGTTAGTCATTGTTTTTGTTTTGTTTTAGTTAAGATTTAGAGTGTGCAACTAAGGTTTAATGTTAGTCTACTTTTAATCATTTTAAGTCATCATTTTCTCAGACAGGTTCACGATACTGAAATTGATTTTGCTGAAGGATATTTCTCCTGGCTGTATAAATTCCCTTGAGAAGCAAACATACCCTATGATGATGAGTTATCTAGGCTGAGAATGCGTTACTGACTTACCAAACTTCTTTCATATATTAAAATGAACGGCTAAAGTTTGTTAGAAAAAGCGCAATAGAATCATATTTACTTTACAGGTCGTATTTTTTCTGCCTACATCAAAAACACATACTTATATTTTTCCCTGTTTCATTTTTGTTATTAGGGCATTAAAACACCCATCAAATTTAACTGTATGGCCATATTATTCGGTAATAATTTTTATTAGGGCATCTAAACACCTATCAAACACCCATTTAACCATGTGCAAAACCTTCACAATTTACAATAGCCCTTCTTCAAAAACAGAAAATACATAATACATAATTCATGAAACAACAAAAAGGGGACATTAGTGTGGCATTTAAGACTAAGCATTAAGCTTGTGTCTGTCCTGTTTACTAGACAGAGCTTACTTATCTCGCTTTAATTTCAGGAAGATACTTCTCGCCAAGATGCACCCTTGCACATGTGTGTGTGTCCCTCAACACTAAGATCAGTTCCTAAAGAAACTCAACTTTATACACCTTTCTAAATTACTCACTCGGGTTTCGCCTCACCCCGTGTCTTACGCTCTCCTTGGCTGTGGCTCATCGCCACACTCATTGCCAGTACCTTTCACACCTACAGGATTTGGAGTTGCCGACAGGTCGAGATATTTAGCCTGGTAGATATCTGGCGGCCGTCTGCAATGCTTCGGCGACTCTGTTGGGTCGCACTGTGAACAGTTCACAGAGAGTGATCGCACGCCGATTTGCCAGCACCGATTGCACACCGATTTACCTCAGATCTGGGACATTTTGTTAGCAATTTCCCAAAACTCTTGCCGAGCGAAAAATCGTGGCTAAAACAGCGTAGTGTGAACTTAGCATTAGTTATACTGGAACTGCCATTTGCTCAGACATGCACAAAGCGGGTAAAACAAATCATCCAATGAGAAAGATGCATGGAGACTGTGAAAACGGATAACAACCAATGCTTTGAGATGGCTACTGTGATCTAGGTTGTCTGCCAAAACAGAGCCAGGAATTTCGTCTCATCTTTACTCATCAGAGCATAACGAACTGAGATATTGCCGTAATTTCGTTGTAAACTATTTTTTCATTTACGTTGTTGTTACAATTTAGTCATGAAATAAAAGCTTGTCACCAAATCCTTACTGTCAAAATTTTCTTTGACAAAATTAACACTGCAAGATTATCAAGTATATGTTTAAAATCAGTGTAAAGTTTACCACCGCTGCTTTTGCATAAGCTCTGCATGCACTCTTCAACCAATCATAATCATTTTCACCTGTGCTGTTTAAATCATTTCTAGATAGCTCTATGAGAAATGTATTTACTTTGAACTCCTTTTTTGATATCCCAATATTCACTGCAACAAAATCACATCACTAGATTTTAAAATTTTCCAGCCCTGGTATATTGTAGCAAACTTTTTTATTTCTTGTCATGTCATCCTGATCTTGTTAAATCTGTTCTTCCAACCAGATTGCAATTAAAGCTTGGGTCTCCATTTGTCCACGCAACCATTATTATTACTCTTTTTGTAACCGCGCCCCCACTGGAGTGCACGTATGCTGTGACTGGGGTTAACCGCGCCCCCAGTCGAGTGCACGTATGCTGTGACGGGGTTAACCGCGCCCCCAGTCAAGTGCACGTATGCTGTGACGGGGTTAACCGCGCCCCCACTCGAGTGCACGTATGCTGTGAC